TAAAGCTACACTGTTATAAAAATTGTCCATTACAAGACAATGTCCCTTATAAAAATAGTCATTCATTAACTCTATCACTATTTTACTTGTTGCTCCTGTAAATCCATGTAACGCTTGTGCAGGTTGTGAATTGCCTTTTCCAGAATAAATGATCATTTTCAATAAGTAACCTGTCTCGGCTTCACAAAGCTCGTAGCTTTTAATGCCAAATCGTGCTGCCTTGGAACGGATACACTGAATCCAACTCAGTCTTCCCTTCCAAAGCAGCAACGATTCGTCAAGGCTCAAGTGCTGCTGAGGTACATACATCTCCTGAAATTTTTGATTACAGTGGGCAAGAATAGGTGCAATTTTAGAAGTTTTACGCTGTTGACCATGTAGCTTGGAATCTAAATCATCATTATTTACAAAATGCAGAAATCGTAATATTAAAATGAAACGATTTTTAGACATAATCTTACGGAATTGAGGCATTTCTAATATCCCTGTCATCCAGTATTCATCTATACGTCCTCTGTAACATAAACCCATGTATATAATAACAGAAAAAAAACTATAAAGTTCCTCCACAGTTATTTCTACCCAGTCGTTCAATCTAGATTGTGATTTTATCCCACCCTCGATTTCGCTAAGACGTACAATAGTCTGCCACGCATATTCATTAGTCTCACGTACAATTGTTTCCATGATATTTCGATCCCAGACAGTAGAGAATAATTCAAAAGGATCAATAGACGATATTGTAGGTCCTGGTTGCTCATTATAAGTTTCTTGCACACCTGTAAATGTTTCAAAATTCCCTGACCAACTACAAGACTCTGACGGTTCAGCTGGTGGTGGCGATTCTTCTTCTTCTTCATTGGACTCTAAAATTTGTCTAATAGTCTCCTCAGAATATTCTTCACCATCACTCTCTTCGCTGCCTGAATCAACTTGCAACGCCTCAGCAAGATTAGAAGGAAAAATAAACTCGTGGCCATCGACAGCATCAGCCTAAACAAAAACACACACATATATATATTATATTATATATATATTTATATATATATATATATATATATATTATATATATATTTATATATATATATATATATATATATTATATATATATATAGTATATATATTATATACACAATTATTTTCATATATAAAGCTTTTAACTAAATAAAACCCATGTACTAACTAGTATTGAAGACCTACCGGAGGCAGTTCTGGATGGGCAGGTTCAGATCCTAATGTGAAGGGGCTTTCTAAATCGGAAACTTCATGTTCAGGTTGATAAATGTTCTCCTTATCCTGAATTTATAAAAAGTAAAATTAGTTATCTTATTGACATACAATTACAAATCAGTTAATAGTTACACATAGCAAAATATTATCAATTGAATTCTAATATGTACATACAGCAGTAGATTGACTAATGTTATGACGAATATGCTCAATTTTTTGTTTTTTTCTTGATGGTCTATCATTCTCACTGATTTCAGCAACTGAAACTTGCTCTAAATCTGACAAGTTAACCGGATATACATAGCCAGAGTCTGACTTTTTTAGAATAACTCTGTCATTCGAAATAACTTTTATTTTTCCACTTGGAGATCTGTTCACCATCAGTGCCGAAATTAAAGGCTGATTTTGTGAACCCGGTGGATTATCTTCAAAATCATTTTCTCTATTAGGCTCCATCTACAACAATTATAATCTGCAATTATTTTAATTAGGTAACCTAAGTAGAATCATTATTCATATTATAGAATTCAGGTAATACCTACTATAATGGAAACCACGTAGTACTTTTTATTTAAATAATTAATCAAAAGATCAAATAATATTATATTAATTTAATTTATTTCTTGCAATCATTATTTCGTGTTAGGTAAACTTAAATTATAGACAAAATTCGCATTCCTCGCTTATGTAGTGCTCATATACTGCAAAATTACAATATTTACACCAAAAGTAACTTGTTCGCAACAATCGTCTTATATTTTGATTCTCATTATGAAGAATGAAATGTGGTGGTGCAGTCATGTTTGTTTGCATATTGCAGTTGAAACATTTATTTCGCTTGATAAAATGAGTTATGTTCCACGGCCATTTGCATTCGTGTGCACATAAATTGTAGTCATTATAATTTAAATATTTATCAACATCTATTATGACACCCATGTTTCTACAACGAAATAATAAGCCATTAATACGTACATATTTCTAAAATGTAAAACCTATACAGTAAGAACATAAAAATATCGACGGATTCTGTATGTTTTTATCCAAAAACTTTTATTAATGACGAAACATCCCACGCGTAGATCTACGTTCCGGCAATTCCACAAGTGAATATTTTTGGAACACCCGTAGATAATAATTTTATATGGAAAATGAAAAACAACCAAAAAAATTATTCCACGTGTATTTACATCAATTGTTATGTAATATTTCTATCCCTAATTATGTTTTGTAATTTATAATGTGATAATTTCATTAAATTGAGAGTTATATTCGACTCGACAGGCTTCTGTAGGAAACAAATTTTCTGTCTCAGATTTTTTGTTAAATATTTATAATTGTAGAGCTTATTGCACTTTCAGCTATAAAAATATATCAAAAATACATGAAAACACATTAGAACTTAATAAATACTTACTTTTTCCACGGAAATTAGCACAAAACTCTTTCAAAAACACGACACCTTGGGGAGCTTATTTGAATCAAACGGCACAGAGAAAAAATAAATTGAATGACTTTTTTGGATTCATTCGTACATTGGCTCACTCACTCACCGCGATGCAAACTCGTTTAGACTCTATGAAACGGTCAAAAAGTTACTTTTCCACAGATATCGTAAAAGTGTATCTACGCTCCGGCATACTACTGTAACCTTTTTTAGGCGTAGATCTACTTAATATCCTAAATTACTTATGCGTAAAAAAAATGTAATATAAAATAAAAAAAAAACAACATTTGGGACTACCGTCACTTCCTCAATACAGTTTTTGAAATTTAGAGAGATTGGCATTAAATATTTTTAATGCCTGATTAACTGGGACTGGGAGGATCTCATTATAATTATACATACGCGCGATGAGATTATAATAAGATATATCTATATGTCGGTATGACAAAAGTTGGAAGTTTGCATCTTGGATTATATCTGAAATTAATATTAAGAGATGAAAGAAGATATTCTATTGCAATATTAATCCAATGTTTATATCAAATCGACTTACACTGGTTGTTATACATCTACGAATACATAATAAAAATTCTTGTAAATTCTACGGAGTTATTATTATATTTTAAAAAAAAAAAACACATGCAGAACTTTTCTTATTGTCGAGACGAATGGTCATATATTTTCAAGTTATATAAGTACAGTGTTGAATAAATTTGCATTGCATTATTTCTGATTGATTTCAGCCCATTAATAGCGAAGTAATTTTTACCTTCACTTTCCTTACGCTTCATATAGGTTAGATAAAGCGAGCAAAGCTTTAACGCTCGAGGGGACTTAAAACCATAGGACCGCATAATAGATGGCAACGACACCGTTTCCACTAATTGAATAAGCATTAATACATTTTTATGTTTTACCAGATATAAAAATAATAACAAACCATCAGCCGTCTTTGTTATTTAGGACAACATTACAAAAACGTAATATTTATTAGTCGTTTAAATTTATTTTTTATATTTCCCGACTGTAAATCTTTGGAAGTAGTAATTCACATCGATGAATCTCTTGGTAAGCCATTAATTAAATTTGTTGTCAATACGCCTTTTAACTTTCTACTATATTCGGCAACATGGATATTCGCCTCTTGCTGTTGTGGTCGTTTGATTCTATAGTGATAAAAAAAAAATGTTTTCTATCCGATAATATAATTTCGAATATCATATTGATTGGTACCTTTGTTTTTATTTTTTATTGTTAATTTTATTATTTTTTAGTTAGTTTATTAATGTGTAAGTGAACATTTCACCACCAGTAGATGATATTATACAGTTTTCGATAAAGTATATTTATTAAATAAATTGCTAAAATAAAAATAAAGTTATTTTTCTATGTATCTTCCTGTCACTAGAACAGATATGTTAGCTAGATCTTATTTAAAATTTATGTAAGTTCCGTTAAATTTCATTGTAATTCGTCTATAACTACTACAACTCTTATATGTTCCCGTCGTAACTCTGTGGTTAAAATTATATAAATCAATTTTATTCAAATAACTCGTTATGTAAAATTTGCAAGTCGATTCATCTACAAAGTTTTATAATTTTATCAACACGAAAAATAATTTCTTTAAAACATTTCATTTTAAATCCGAGTTTAATATCAATTTGCATATAAAATTAGTTAGAAACTAAATTCGACTTCTTCAGTTACGATGAGTAATTTCGAAGTTATAAGGGAACAGATGAACTTACATTCATACATACAGGTCAAAGTTATAACCCTTCTTTTCGCTTTGCCGTAGTCGGGTAAAAATAAAACGTATGATATTGGTGAAAAATTTTTTCGAAATCGGTGTAGTTGATTTTTTTTTTGTCTATCCATCAAAACAAATATCTAATTGTTCCTCTTTATAATATTAGTATTACTTGTTATAAATATGCATTTGTATTATTTTCTCGCTTTTTAAAACCTGATACAGTGAAAACGATATGACAGTATTTTACATGTTTACCGTATAGACTAGGCTAATTAAACATTTTTGATTTTATGTATTGTCAGGGAAGTAATTTATTTAAGTACAACGTAGTGAATTTTTTCATACGTTTACCTACCAAATAATGCGTTACTTTGTCAGTGGCCTAAATCCATACATTATAATTACATTTGTTTCGAAAATCTTCAACCTTCAACGCGTTCGCTAGTGATGGTTATTAATTGTAATTTTAATTAACACATGAAAAAATATATTTATCATAAAATGTACTAATAAAAATTTTATTTTGTTTCAGGTAATTAATTTTCTGTTGTAATTGCTGTACAAGAAATGTTTAAGGTGAGATCGCGCGTTACTGTAGTTTGAGAATTTATGTAGCACTCTAGTCACGTCATTTTATACACAATTGAACGGAGAAATTTGAAAGGTTCGCACACTGTATTTTCTCAGCAGCCTAAGTTTATGTACAAACAAAATTTGATTTGATGCGTTGCTACGAGACGTTCATGTCGGTTTTCAGAGTGCATATGAAAATTACCTTTATGTAATGTCTACAAAAAAATTCCGTTATTGAAAATAACGTCAAGATATGGAAGATGATGCAAACTACCAATTCTTAAGTTTGTATATCTGAAAGGGTAATCTAATATAACTACTATATTTTGATTGATGACTGCCTTAAATTAAAACTCGAACGAATAGTGCACTCGGGCGAGTGCAGGCGAACACCAACTGGTTCATAGCTCGCATGTCGACGACATGCCGTCGTGGTAGCGAAGGTCAGTGCTCCTGCGAAACCGCCCGTAGTGCTCTGGTGTTAAGAGTGCTCTAGTATCAGGAGAGAGGCGGCGTGGCGGTGGGGTCCTCGCTGCGGACCGCGCGCTGCCTCCCTTCAGTCAGTTCAGTCGCAGCGGTGCACGCACACCGCACGCAGTTCTCGCGCGCGCGACGAGAAGGTATGCACGCAGCCGGCCGATACACTCACGCACTCGCTTCCGGTGGCTGCTCTCCTTTGTCTTACTACACACGTCTTATCGCCTGCTGCACGTACCCAAATAAACATTGAGCTCTATCAGTGAATATAATCAATTATCGACGGCAGCCACCGTGTATGCCAGTGTTGATCGTGAAAGTGTCAGTTCATAGGGAAAAGTGCAATTGCAATTGAAATTAAAATGTGTTCAACAATACGCACTCACAGTGTCTTTATTTTGTAAAATTGATAATTGAATTATTGTTTCTTTATGCTTACATTGATTAATCGGGTTCGAGTTATCTCATATGTATTTATTTAATTATACGGCCTTAACGCATTTCATACATAATAATGCACATTGACCTTATGGATCAAAATAGAAGTCGATGTGAATCAATTTAAATTTTGATGCCTATTTGTATCAAGTTCATACTTATTGTAAAAAGTAGAATCCTTGTAACGCGTAATAGTGTGTCCCAGAAAAAGTGTTTGTTCAGATAGTTTGTGTCGGTGCAGCTGGAGTGGAGACATGCGAGGATGTGTCGACCGCGGGCCATATGGCAGCGGCTCTACTAGCCATATCGGGCCACCACCAAGGCGACACTTGTTGCACTTATACGGCATAATTGCTCCACAAAAGACGCACGAATGACGTCTTATCACTTCACGTCTTAACAGATACATTTATCACCGTCAACGACTAACGGTCATAAATATTTAGCAACCGTATCGGTGCAGTCTTAAGTATAACTGTAGACGTATAACTGGAGATAACTTGGGGGTACGGTTCGCGAATAAGTTATGCAAGTTGGTGTATCCGAGTGGACGTCGGCCGGGGCGGTTCGTTGACCAGTGCGTTGTCCCGCCGTGTCGCGCCGCCCACCGCGAAGGTCGTCGCGTGCAGTTCGACCACATATCCGCGCAATATCTTCACATACGCATAATTAAACTTTAGTCCGATTTCATGTTAATAAACACTTATGAGTGAGTGCGTATTGTTAAACATGTTTTCATTTCGAATTCTCAGGTAGAGTCGATATGTGATCAGTGTACCCGGTGCAAATAAAAGTTTGCTTGTGAAAGAAACTGTAAACAGTCAGTGGAAATTTTGATCTCAAAATGGTGACTTCGAGAATACCGGCTTATTCTCTAAATTCGGAGTTCAACAGGGAGTTCAGAAGTTTCCGCATAACGCGAGCCACGCCACGGTCCACTTTGTACGCTCCTGCAATAGTGCCCATACACGAATATCCAAGGGTAAGCGTGCACGAACGAAGAGAAGCATTGAAGGCAGCACTCGCCAAGGCATGGTCGTCGAAAAGCAGCGAAAAAAAGAAACATGACACGTGGACAGTTCCTAGCGAACAGAATAGAGTTGGCATCACAACAGCAGATTTTGCTGCTAAACCGCAGTACAAAAATGGCTTGAATGGTGACGTCTCTCGTGTTGCACTTGTCAAACACGAATTTGAAAGTAAAGATAGCGAACGGACTGAAACCATTGATAACAGACTGAATAACGACCAGCCTGCGAGCTTCAGCTACAGTCGCGTCAATGGCAATGGCATCGATATACAAGAAACACTCAAAAAGGGTTGTGATAAAGGGTTACACAAAGATTTAAGCTATAGCGACTACCTAAATAATGTTCCTAAATGTAAAACTAGTTTTGAAAACAATTTTCTCAAACAAAGTCACGAGGAACGGTACAGTAAACGAAACGGTTACGACGCGACGTCCAAACGCGTCGACAACCTAAATAATATCGAATATAATAACCAGAATGGTGATACATATGATTCTTTGAAGTATTCGCGAACAGCGAATGCAACAGAATCAGTTCAGTATAAAAGTTACGGTAAGACGGACACCGTTAAAAGTAAATTGCTCAGCACAGATATTCCGAAGAGCGTGACGTCTTGCAACGGAGAGAAAACAAATGGATACACAGGTGTGGAACGACGCAACGGCAAGGAGCAGCGGCTGACTAGCGGACCCAAGGCAATAGTAGAGCAGCGCCTTGTCGAACGGCTAGAGGTGAAGGTGGCCGAGTTGCCTGCCCTCTACCTCGGCGTCGACTCCTGGACGCCCAAGTCACATGCTTTCCAGAAGAGCATGCGCCAACACGAATGGAGTGTATCGTATGTACCTTAATGGCGAGACACAAACTCACTAACTAACACAACCCATCCAATAAATAACAAAGCTTCGAGTCGTATGTTTTTAAGCGTTTGAGATGTATAATCTAAGAATTCACGTTTTGTACCTAACTTCTTAAAAATATTCGTCTCGTATCTTCGCATAATCGTTTTTTGTTTTATATTAATGTGTTTTATGCATACCTACAAAATAAAGAATTCGCCAATTATCATGTAAAAGAATCGTTGTTGCTGCTGACGTTACGTACGGACCTTATTTACTTGTCCATTTGCCATTATACAAACTCGTAAAAGTGTGTAATCTGACCATGACCATATGATTTATCCGTATGTCCGTTCATTGCCACTTAGCAGTTTGACTGAAATTAAATAGTATTACAGTGGCGCGATGGCTTGAGGACTGGTTGTGCAAAACTCTTGCACAACTTGTTGCCGTGACTCACCATCGTTGCGCTTTATTCTATCCCGACTGCCGTTGGTTGCTCAACCTCTTCGCTCATTATCGCCGTTTAGTGAAACACAATTTTTAACAAATAATCTTAGGGCAGTTATCTTTTAGACTCCACATAGCTAAGTAGTAACTCATATACCGTTTCCGTTACGTAAGTATGCACTTGATGTTTTAGATCAATGCATCATAATCGGCTTACGTAATTAATATTCTATGCAAATAATATCAGTTGTTGATTTTATTGTCCATTATCAATGTAGAGTCTATAATGTGGCCGAGGCGCTGTAAACACATTTGCAATTTCGTGGGCGCCAATATCGTCGCAGCCGAAAGATTCTTGATAGCGTTTGTGGTGAATGTTTCAAGGTCTTGTCCTGGTTTGTATGCTCGCAAAGGATTTGTCAACTTGGTAGGCGTAATGACGTAATGAAAATCTCTGTTGTCTTTTTATATTGAAAATTGTTGAACATCTCTGTCTGAGATGAGAAGAAAGTGTATTTGAAACGTTTTGTGGTATTTGCGGCTTTTCCACTGACTAGGCAGCTGTAGCTCTCACTTGAATACAATGACTATGCGTATATAAAAATATCGACTAAAACCTCTTTATAATAACGGTTATCGGTTATACATACTAAAACATTCTTCATTACCGATAGAGTCATCTGTGAAATTCTGTTCTAATTAAACAAAATTAGTTTTAAAGCAGAATATTAAAATAATAATTAATTACCTATTTACGATCGGCTGTCAGTGAAAATGTAAAAAATTTTAATAGGTATTATCGTTCAATCGGAATCGACTCTAATGAATGCGTGAACCAGATCTAGATTTTATAATAAACGAGTCATAGATATTGCGCTTTAATTTATTTTCTCTTTCGTTTCGTTTGGCTCATCGTTGCTAAGAAGGTGGTAAATATTACTCTGTAGATCTAACAACGTCTAAATTGATATCTTCGGTAACGACTAATGGGAATATCGGTGGACAAGTCACGCAGCCATACAAATTAAATGTCAAAAGCTGCAATCGCGTATGAACAACTTTCACTCGAACTGGTCTCGCCGTGGTGGCACATGTGCACTACTGGTTTGGTGTCTCTTCATTGAACAATATCCACTGCTAATTATACTTTAACGTGGCACGTAATTAGTTTACGTAAATTGTAACATAACGACACCTGTATTAGACGTGTTAGGCTCATTAGCCTAGCTAACTATTACCTGCCGTGCCGGAAAATAACTAAAAAGGATTCTGTTGCCCTGTGTAGGAACTAAATCTCGCTATCATTTTAATAATCCTTTGATTTTGCAGTATATAAAATGGGGATTTTACATTATCCATAATGACAGTACAGTTTAGGTTATAAACCTATTCGTATTGTTTTCCTTTTTGTTCTTATGATTCATACAAGTTCATTTATCCCACCATGAAAAACCGTCAGTTTAATTATAATTAGCTATGTTAATCATACACGGTTAAATAGCGTTCTAGATAAATTAATAATGTTGTTGAACCGGAAAATATTGCTTCTTACTTACGTCGTTGTATGGCATATTGGATCCGGTATTTTGATCGTTATACCACCGAGACACGGCTGGTCACTTATCGGAATTTCATAGACACTGCTTTTTCTTTAAATGACTTATAAATAACAGGTTCGTAAGAAATGAAATATTAGTGTGTCATCGAATTATTGCATTAAAGTTGAATTAGTTGAATAAGGAACTAAACACATTTAGATCTCTCGAACAGTACTTAATAATTTTGCTTTAAGACTATGTATACCCCAAAGACTTACTCCCATAGATCTAAGGGTCTACACTGTTTATCCACGATCGAAATTTCGAAAAATTTCAATACGTTCTCATAATTTTGGTAAAATCATGTAATCAGAGGCAGTGTCAAGTGCTACCTCCGTCCTATTAATGTTTCGGAATTAGACGAAATTTAGTTTTTGGAGAATAGGACTTTTCTTCTCAAAAGGACTCGAAAGTCTTTTAAATTAGATTGGAACACATTGATACTGAACAAATGAACACGAATGCATTCAATCTGCTTTGTCACTTGTGATCAAATTAATTATACCAATAGCTTTAATATACATAACATGTATTATGTACCTTATTGTGAGATCAGGAAATGGAACAGCAGGTTTAAAGTGGAACAAAAACAAATGAATCAAAAATATTATTATTAAATTAAAGTATAGAAAGTCCCGATAATTTTGATTTGAGTACCTGTTAGGATCAAGTTTTCAAGAACTCCCAGTTATTTAGATTTTTCGTTAATTGCTGGTTGCGTGCCGCTCTACCTACGTTCCAATATATAGTTTCGTGACTACTGGGTAAGCTTTGTTACATTTTGCTATGCGATTTTACAATATCTTGTTTACAATATTCATGTAGAATTTGAGGGTTTACTTCATTAGATACAATACAAAGTTTATCTCTTTGTGATATTGAATTATTTTTTTTTTACTGACAAAAATAACTTAACAGGTAGGCGTAAATCATGTAGTGACCAAGTGCCTCAAGTTCATTACTAATTAAACTGATTATTTTGCTGCTACACAGCAAAACATGTTCCAAACGTGCAAAAACAACTTTAAATCTAAATTTTGTTACAAATCATACCAAACAGAGTGAATAATCTGGTATAACCATAAAAGTGGTGTAGATCGGTGCTTGTCATTGACCCGTCGAGCTGCGCGGGCGGGTGAGCGATTAGTCTCGCTGCAGCGTTGACACGGTTCACAGAGAACGCTCATCCGGCGCGGCCTTGTCTGTGGCTTGGCTTCAGACCCAGCCCGGCTCGTCCTATCCAACCGATAAAAAAAACAAACCATTCCCACTATACCATCGAACTAGTCAGGATGTAAGATCACTCGACCGAAAAATAAAGGCAGCACCACCACCGGTCTATCGATTGTGTTTGTTTTCATATTTTGATCGCTTTCACATTCCCATTGAATTCATTTGTAAGAATTACTTTTATATACGGCGCGTTATACTCTCGTTTCGTATACAGGTCAATGTTTTAAAC